AGTCTTCATTTAAATTACACATTTTTTAATATGTTCGTATTACTGATTTTTTTTTTCTTTTCGTTGTGTTTTCTTGCTGAACAAGATAATTGTTTTCCTTTCTTAGACATACTTGTAAAAAGTAATAATAATGAAACTGTTTCTACAACTGTTTTCTGAAAACCTTACTCAGTTTCTATGCCGCCACATCAAAGATCATGTCACCCATTTTCTCAAAAGTTAGCAGATTTTCATATTTATATAAACAGAGCACTTAAAATTTGCTCTGATCCCATTGATTTAAAAAATTAATTGAATTATATATATAAAAGTCATTGTTAATGACAGATGTTATACTATTGATATAATTGAACGTTTAAGACAAAGAAAATACAATTCAAATTTAATTAAGCAGTGCAATAGATTAAACAGTGTTTATGATAAGAAATAGTATATTGATATTAACATATGTAAATGGTATAACTAGTCAAGTTGCCAACGTATTTAGAAAACATAATTTTTTCTCATTTTTAAGCCATTTAATAAAATTAAAACAATTCTTCCTAACACTAAAGATAAGAAAGATATTCTACAAAAAAGTTATATATCAAGTTAGATGTGAATGTAACAAAAAAAATGTATTGGCCAAACTAAACGTAATATGAAATACTGCATTAATGAACAATAATAATAATAATTTCTCCACTGGCTGAACTCATTGTAGAAACAGGTCACTCAATACAGTGACATAAAACAATAATTTTAAATGAACCCAAATATAGTAAATGTGTTTAATATTTTTACAATCTATTGAAATTTTGTGTTGTAAATTTAAATCAAATAATCATTTGTTAAATAGAGATGAAGGGTTAGGTAGTGATAGTGCTGAATTTTAAAGGGAAATATTGACTATGTACAGTGTTCATGTCACCCAGGTGAATTACAGTGAGTCCAACCATTCTTATATAAAAACTCACTGTTTGCGTAGATTTTTACTCCTGATGATGGTAGCAGAAGCTAGGAAAACTTGTAGTCATTTTTAATTTTTTTAAGTTTTATTGTGTAATGTAAATATTATTATGTCTATATTTTTTTAATAAATGGTTACCATGTAAGTGTCTTGGGTCAGTATAACACAAAAATATATAAAATCCATTTAGAAATGCTTGAGTGGAAAAAAACAAAAGCCTAAATTCTACTTTTTCTCAACCAGTAGATATTATCTCAAACGAAGCAAAATAAAGCAATTTGACTAACTCATATTGCATCATCATATTCATGTGCTGTCAAAATGAATTTACAATTACCACATCACATTTTATTCACTGTAACTCGTTTATGATTCTTAGGTGAATTAAGAGCAAAACGAAATGTAAATTCAGTTTTATAATACTTATGATTCCTAGGTCAATTAGGAATCAAAACTGAATATAAATTCAGTTTTACATATGGTTAATCAAATCTTGCAATATGAGCAATGCTAAATTGCTTTATTTTGTAGCTTTTATAAGATATCACCTACTACTGTTTGAGCTAAAGCAGAATTTTGGATCTTTTTTCCTTAAACGTTTTTAGATGGATATGTTTGAAGAAAGTAAGAAGGAAATGCATTTTAATAAATTTTACAAGTTACAATAAGCAAATCATTCATTAATGTTTTGTATTTATTGTGGCAAACTTGTGACTGTGGCAATGAATTAGGTTGTAAAACTCCTCTGTTTCTGTAGTTACCTTGAAAACATGAATACAGTGATAATATTTGACTTCCAGATGGATTAATTTCTTAATATAAA